CCGTATAATGATAGACGTTATGTAGACCAATTCCAAAAAACTGGTGTACCACATATACATGTGGTTGATCACTTGACTCAATCAGATGACTTTTTGACGCAATTAATTGAGCCATATTAAAATAATATTTAAATATATATATAAAAAAATAATAATTGCGTCAGGCGCAATTAAAATTGAGATTTTGTGAATCGAGTTAAAGCCCAAATTAATTTTGACAACATGTAGTATCGCACACACCACCCATCACCTCACGCAAAAATTTGCGTCCGGTGTGACGAGATATTTAATGTTACACGATTTTATTCAACTCATAATTATAATTTTAGCCAAAAAATCAGGAGGCAATTCCTGAAATTTCGTTGTGTAACTAGTACAAATTTAGCAGAAATTTATAATATGTAACACGATCCCCAACATTCTCAACGACACTGGTGCGGGTGCGAGCTAACCAAATTTGAGAAATCATCTGCAGATTTTTTTATGCAAATATACAACACAATTTGGTTAGATTAATTATTGCGATTTGCTGACCAGTTTTAGGTGAGTGGAAATTTCCTTTGTTTCTGAAAAGAAAAAAAGACTTCAAACCTTCAGCGTGAAATAACAAATATCTATTATAGAGTCAGAATCAATTTTGTAATCTAAATAATTAGCTTTTCAAAACTTGAGATTATATTATTTTTATTGCTGTTTTAAATTCAATGGTAGATTGTCCAGCAAAATAAATTTCAGTTGGGAAATTTTGTTGTTTTCGAAAGCAGTTTAGTTGTTAAATCACGAAAATCACTAACAAATAATCTTGTTTTTTAATCTTGGAATATATTCAGTAAGATGGTTGGTTACTTAAAAGAATTTTGAGCCAACATGTTGATTGATAAATGATAATACCCCTGTGATTATAAAGAACTAACTGTATTACCAAAAATAAATAAATAAATTTTTAATGACTTCATTAATAAAAATAACTTGTATGTTTTCCGGGGTCCTGCATATCAACGACTTACATAAGAAAATAAATTATTAAAAAAAAAATACTTTTTGAAAAATAATTAATAACCTATACATTCTCTTCTAAATAAAAATATTTATATATACACATAATAATATTTAAACGAGCTCTTTTATTTTTCCAAATATAAATTAAAAATGGCAGACCATCATCCAGAAAGTAATGGAATTCATATTGAGGCGCATCAACAACAAATAATACCTCAACAGCACCAGCAGCAACAAATAATACCCCAAGCTCAACAACATGTTAATGGAATTTCTACTGGTGGCATCAACTCAACGGATACAACTCCTACTAACAATAATATTAATACTAATACTAACGCTACTCATACTAATCCCAATAATAATAATAATAATAATAATAATAATAATAATAATAACAGTAACAATAATAATAATTCAGATTTAAATTTTTCAAGAGTTCCACAACATCACAACAATGAATCCTATGCCTCTAATCCTTATATTACTCCTCAAAATGAAGTACTTGACCATTCAAAACACGATCGTGAAATAGTTATTGAAGTGAGTCCAAATGGTAGATATGCAAAGGTAATAAAAAATAAATTTTATAATTACAATTATTTATTATCCATTATTAATACATACATATTTATATTATAATGGATACAGCTAAATACAATTTTAGGCAAAGGTGCTTATAAAGTTGTATTTAAAGGAATTGATCGTGAAGAAGGATACGAAGTAGCATGGAACTGTTTTCAGGTGATGGATTGATTGATTATCTTCAATTAATAATTATATATTGTTTCATTTATTTTATTTTTTAGTGAGCAAGATTATAATATATTTACATATAGATATATATGTGTTTAGATATATGTGTGTTTTTAATATACATATATTTATATTATTATTTAATAATAATATCTAATTAGACGACAAAAGCAGAATTTAATGAATTAAGTCAAGAAATTAAAATTTTAAAACAAGTACGGCATCCAAATATCATTAATTTCCATGATTGTTGGTATAAAAATGATGAATTCATATTTGTTACAGAATTAATGACATCTGGAACATTAAGAGAGTAAGTTGTTTGTTAAATTATACACACATGTGTGTGTGTGATCTTTAAAAAAATTTATATATAGATAAACGTCAAGTAGTAGGTTTAATCGAGTTGACTTTTATTGATAATTTTTGTTATCGTTATTTTGATGATTTAGGTACATAAGAAAGCTCTCTTTACCAAATATGAAAATAGTTAAAAGATGGTCTAGACAAATTCTTAAAGGTCTAATATATCTTCATTCACATAACCCGCCAATAATTCATCGAGATATCAAATGTGACAATATTTTTATAAACGGAGCGCACGGTGAAGTAAAGATAGGTGACATGGGGACAGCAAAAATGAAGTTGGGAAAAAAGTATACCGTCATCGGTATGCAGTAACATCATCCCAGCTGGGTTTGCTATCATGGTTTTATATATTGGTGCCTGTACCTAGGTTCACTCGGTGATCTAAATGTGTTGTTGCGAATTATTCATTCGCATCTTATAAACATATATATGTAGGCACTCCCGAGTTTATGGCACCTGAAATGTACGAAGAAAAAGGTTATAGCGAGAAAGTCGATATTTATGCATTTGGTATGTGTCTTCTCGAAATGGTCACCGGCGAATACCCATACAGCGAATGTCAAAATGCTGCTCAAATATACAAAAAAGTCATCCAAGTATGTAATGAAAATTTATTAAATCATTATTTCTTTTTTTTAATACAAATCCCTCATCCCTTATTATTTATTATATAAGGGAACAAAACCTGAAAGCTTAAAGAGCATAAAGGAGTCAGAGATTTTGGATTTAATAAGTCACTGTTTAGCAACTGAAAATGAAAGGTTGAAGTTTTTATTATTATTATAAAATTTTTATTTATGTATATATTATATTATTATAAAATTATATGGTGAATACCTACTCAGCTGTATAATTAACAATAGTTTATTCTTCAATATAAATATAATATATTAATAAAGGTATACGGCTCAACAAATAATGGATCATCCATTCCTTACAGTTGAACCTGAAGTTGTATTGATGACAGCTGACGAAACAAAAACTCATTTAAAACTTCAAGTTATTTTCAAAGGAATGGATAAATTGTCAGTAAAATTTGAATTTAATGTTGATAAAGATACTGCCGAAGATGTAGTAAAAGAAATGGTAAACAAATTAAAATTTCAAATAATAGTAATAATATTAATATAATTATATGCTTTATATTTATTTATTTGTTTGTTAGATTGAAGAGAAGGTTCTTGATGTAAAATATCAACAATTAATTACGCATGAAATAAAAAGAATTTTACGCGATTTCAATAAATCAAGCGAGGATGATTTCAAAAAAGAAGAACACAATACAACGTGGCCGTCACAATCTGCAAATTTGCCTTTTCATGCAGGAATGTCACCACGTTTGCAACCTAAAACTTCTTCTCATGGATCTTTAACTCCTATATCACTTGAAAGAGATAGTCCAAATAATACTTTAATACAGCCAATAACTCAACAACAACTCCAACAAATTCAACAGCAACAACACCAGCAACAACACCAGCAACAGCAGCAACAGCAACAGCAACAACAGCAACAGAAACAGAAACAATCACAGCAACAACAATCACAACAGTCATCGCCTCCTCCCGATTCACCACGTAAAAATTCGATTTCTATGATTCAACCAGAATGGATTGCTGAATTAGAAGAAACATTTCCTGTAAAAGGTTTGTTCATTAATATAAATAAATGTTATATAAGATGTAATATAATAGTATAGACAATGTATATAGCATATAACACGTAAAATATTTACTTACACTTGTATGATGAATGTTTATGTGCAGAATATGCTGATGACGTATTTATAGAGGAATTTGTTAAAGAGACAGCTACAGCTAGTAATAGAGAACCAGAAAAGGCAAACGAATGGATAATGAAATTGAAAAAGCAAGATATTATGAGAGTTGGAGATTTGCGTGCATTGTTAGATGAGGATTGGCAAGGGATTGGGTTAACTGTATTTGCTTTGCGTGCACTCAAGAATGCCTTACATGGCAAGACAAAAAAAAGTCCTAATGTTAATCAAAGGACCGGTGGTGGAGAAGAAGGTCATCAATAAATCAAAATTATTATATATATATAATATTGCTCATTCAATCAAATCATAATCCGTTTGTCGAATTCACTATATGATTTATATACATATATATATTTTTAAGTTTAAAATTCTTGAAGATTCTTTGGAAAAAAAATATTGATTGTTATTATATTTACATATTCTTAATTATATATATATCAAAAATAATTTTTTTAAAAAAAGGGGACAAGTTGCTGGTTTATATTATATATATATATATATATGTATGTTAATTATATGTATATTTATTATGTCTATAAATATATATGTAAAATTGCACCATAAAAATTTTCATTTTATATTTTTTCTTCCTATTTTATTTTTATTTTATTTTTTGAAGTGTAAGTATATAAATATATATATAAATATAATAATATTTTTGTCTGTTCTATTATTTATCATTATTATTAAAAATAATACATAATATATCTTTTAATAATTTTTGTTTCTGATATAGGTAGTTTTAGAGATATCATTCATTGTATTTAAGAAAAAATCATAAACTTTTTTATTTATTTTATTTAATCGTCATGCGACTCCTTTCTGCAGTGCAACAATCATGATTGTCCAATAAAACCCATGGAAGTTGAAACTAGAATTAGAAATTTTAACATCAACCACAACAGAAGGGTAGTATGGGGTGTGGAAGTTAAGTCCTAAAAATCATACAACAGTGTAATTATCTGACATATGTTTAGAAACAATCAATGACATTTTTTCATTGGTATGCATTTTAATATCATCAATTTAAATGCTCCAGCATGGTAAATTACTAATTTCACTTGTTAGGCTTTCTTCAATGACAAATGAAATAGTTTCATGCTGCAACATCATTAACATAGGAACAACATTTAAATGGAGATATGACAGATTGGTTGATGATTGATAATGCTGGTTTTATTCCAACAAATGGTTCAAATAAACCTTCTTCAGTAGCTTTTTTAGTTGTTGAGGGCATAATTTTTTTAAATCCCTTGATCTATGTTTTGTATTACTTGCTATTTGCTATGTGAAATTGTATGCTTGAAATTAAATTCTACAGTAATTTGGTTTTTTATCACAGGTATAGAGATTACAATGATCTTTGGTATTTGAATGTTGAATAAGTGAATCATGCTTCAACCAATCACAACCTTTTTGAGTATAGCAGTTTTTTGATAAGATGTTTCATCACCATGTACAAAGCATGCAACCATCTTCTTCAGTTTCTTCATAACATACCATTCATATTCTTCTTTTCATTTGAGATTAAACTTAAAATTTGTTTTATCAAATTGATTAGATTCATTATCAACCAATCTCTGAAAAGATTATATTAATGACTTTTCTTTTTTCTGTTTCAGATTGTTATTGATGTTGAAAGGAGCTGTCAAAATCATGAATTGTGTAGATTTTTTTATTTAGTGACTATGGTTGCTTGCCAAAACTCCACCAGAAATTAATTGGCAGAGTTTGACAGTTACACACTTTGTTTATTAAAATTTTGGAAGAGTTTCTCATTTGTGGGTTTTGGCAATTGGAAAATTTTCAGCAAGATACACACTAATTGTTTATTAGAGTTTTGGCAAGAGACCTTATTTGTGACTGTAAATTATTAGCTTACATGGCCAATCAATATGATTTAGTACACTGAATTAAAAGTTTAATAACTGGATAATTGGTCAAATTAAAACTTTGGTATTGGATAATTGGTAAATAAATACCATCTATCCCAGTGTGTATTTGAATATTTGATGATACAATAAAGTATAGTACCTGGATGATTGGTCAAATCCTTTCTGTTAATGCTTATTATTAACAAGTATACAGTGTGTTTCAAAAAAATGGCAGTTTGTAAAATATTTTTAATGAAAAGTAGCCAAAATTATGTAATAAAAATTATACCAGAGAATTGGAAGGTCTTAGATTATAATATAAGAAAATATTGAAGTATATTGTTATGCAGGCTTTAGAGCAATTATTAAAGAAATTTACATATTTGAATGGTTTTTTCAAATAATCAAATTCCTTTTATTTTCAATTGACAAAATTCTAGAAAATCTGGAAGTGTGAA